AATTATGTAAAATATTAAAAAAATAGATTTAACCAACTTGTTTTTAAATCTATATAAAAATTATTCTATAGTAATGACATCAATTGTTCATTTAAAAAAGCATTTATCATAATTATTTACAGCCATTTGTTCCCAAAAACAGATCAATCAGAAATGAATATAACTTTAACATTTTACTATTATCACAGTAAACAGTCTATTATATAGGAATCACAGGTCGATCAAGAACACATTAGGCAAATATTGATTTTGCGAATGGTAATCTAACGATAACATCTTCAGGTTTTCTCCTTCGAAATATATTCTCCACAAAGTTGCGTTTCAAATTTTTCCAACGTGCCGCGAAGACGGAGTCGTGGCTGCTCGGCCAATATGCATCGAGTGCGGCGTGGTGGCGCGCATGTCACATCGCCGGCCGCCGCAAGGTCTGGGTCTCGGGCTGCGGGCGCGGGGACGAGTCGACGCGCGCGATGCCGTCCGTCGCTCGCGGATAGCAGTCGTTTAAAGCCGGTCGTTGGTCTCCCCTACAGTGTACGACGGTGGCAAGGTGGTGCTTCGGTGTCTCGTGAGAGAGAAGCGCGAACGGTGAGTGCTCACACGTACGTCGAAGTGCTTCGTTTTTTTCGATAACGGCAACGAAATGGCAGCGGTATCGTTTCGGGCGATTTTCGTCGTGCGGTGGTGCGAGATGAACCGTCTGGTCGCCACGAGAAGGTACCAAAAGGTGAGTATGTTGACATACTTTGCGAACCGCACCTGCGTGCACTCCATGCTACGGCGTAGCGCGGTCAGTGCCGGTTGCATTTTGTCAAATATTCCAGAATTGTTCGAAATGTTCGGCGTGCGTTGTCGAACAGATACAATGTGAATCGATTACTTCAAAGCCGGTATCGGTTACTTTTGAATATCCTCGTGCGCGGATTAGACCGAATTGATGTTACGCGCGCTGGGCTCAGGTGTCACCCCGTCCTACTCGTAGCTGCGATAGCTGTGACAACATATACAACATGACACTCCGGTATCCTGCTTCTCCCACTCTTAACTCAGTGATTGTACCACGTTAGTAGTAACCGATAGAAATCCCTCCTCCAAACTGCTCGCGTGTGCAGCTCGCTCTTTATCACACATTCGCCTTCGAAAGGCACGCAACGCCTTTAGCGGCACTGCATTTCCATCTCACGAATGGGTGTACGAACCCTTGTGAGGTTAATAGAACCGTATTTGTAAGAAGATTAGGTCACGATTCCAGGAGCATACAAAGAGCTCCAAAGTTTTTCAGGTGTTTCTACAAAAAAATCTTATTTTCTTCCGCATGTCGTTTCAGAAACTACTTTCTAATTTCTGGTAGATCAGATTAAATAATTATTAGATTGGATTAGATAATTAAATTGTAATATGTAATACGAATATTTACAAAAGTCTCAATAGTTACTAATAATTTTATTAAATTATATTTTATTATGACGGATTAATTATTTAGAGAGTAATATATAAAATCTTTGTTACATCTTTTACTGAAATATTTCTTGTAATTTTGTGCATGAATGCTTCGACTAATTCAATAATCGATACTTCCAGAATCGTGAAGCGATAACGTGATATATTAGTAGACACGTCTTTGCACAATTAATACGAAATACGTGTAGCAAACGTGCATTACCAGGAAACATTACAAATTATTCTTAATCTTGACATCATGTTTACCACAAAAAAATATTATCTCTCTAATATTAGAAAAGTCTTATAATCTTCTGAAGATGATTGGCGAGGAGAATTTTAATTCAATGAATGAAAAAATATGGATAAGAAAATAGTTTATTTTTTATAATCTAAAAAATTTTTTTTTATTCATGAAATATTTAGAATAAATTTAACACACATAAAAAATAATGAAATACATAATAAATATCAAATGGTTAAGTTATTTTTTTATGTTCTTGCAACATAAAAAAACATAAACACACACACAATAATTTCTCTTTCAGAATGATTAATATTTTATGAATTTAAGAACATTGTAATGAGAAACATATGAACCGTATATGTAAAGTCATGCTAATGTTATCATTTTTCTCGTTACTATCACACAGAATATCGTGTGGTTATAAGATAAAAGGCAACATACATGCATATGTGTTTACGCGCGTCTTCGTTGCGCAGATTATATCTGCAGTACCTCGGCATTAATTAACATAATACTTAATAATTGAAAATACAAAATAAAATCAAAATGTTATTACGATTCATATATTTCTAATAATTTAAACTTTGAACTATGAATATTATATAATAATAAGTAATAATGTTCACTTTTTATAACGTAACGAAATATATAATTATAATATAATTTTCGATATTTTACAACACAAAGATTTGACTATTAAGGCTCATCTACAATGTGCTTTTTGCGTCTTGTTTCGTGCCTTCTGCTTTTTGTTGTTTGTTTCTTGTACTTTTGTCATATGGAACTGTGAAACATTGTCATGTACAATTTGTTTCTTCTGAATTTCCGAAGAAAAATGTTATTTCACATTGATTAATCATAGATCAATATTCAACAGCACTCTTATTGACTAATGATGTTCAAGGTAATATTTTAAGATAATTTTAATGTATGAACTATGAATATCGATTAAATAAAATAAATAAATATCCGATACCATTGTTGTCATACGATTTTCTTTGTTTTCTGTCGCTCGAGATAAAAGTTGACAAACTTCGTAAGAAACAAGAAACACGTGACAAGAAACATGATTATCGGTAAAACAGTGCTCAAAGAGGCAAAAAGATAACAGACAAAAAGCAAAAAACAGGAAGCAAAGAGTACATTGTAGATGAGCCTTTAGGCAATTAAACATCAGATTTTATAATGTAAATTCTTGCAAATATTGTGAAATGTTTTTTTATTGATGCCAAGGATAAATAACACATTTCTTAGAATTGAAAATTTATGCAAAACCGTTAGTACAAAATATATACAATTTGCGCTTATCATATATATATATATATATGGGAAACATATATGAGAAATGTTTGTTCATGGATTTAGAGATAGTCCAAATCCAACGATATCTCTACTATCAGCATAGGCGGTGTTCTATTCACAACTTCTCTAACATCCGCGAATGCAAGTTATATTGCCTGCGGTATTAAATGTTGTACATAGAATGCTGATAACTGCATTTCCGAGTTGCTTACGAGGAGAATTCAAAGCAAAGAATACGTCTGTATTCTCCTCGTACTAGAAACTAGAAAATAATTCTAATGTAGAATTCCTAGAACAAAAAGAATGATAGAAATATGAACTTTTTTACATTATT